GCAGTCTGTAGGTTTGAATTAGATTCACCCAAAGTGATGAGCCAAAATAATATCCACAAAAATGGATTTTCAAGTCTGAGAGTCTGAAAACTGTCTAGGCAGTCAGTCCAGCTTTTGTACATAGATCAACAGCAGTGACCACAAGCCTTCCCTGTGCTCTAGATCCATTGAATGCAAATCTTTTTAAAGTGTAGACAGCACCTAGACCAGCTCATCCGCCATGTACCATTGGTACCCTGTTGGGAATGAGGCTGCACCTTCCTGCCTACCTGGGTCATCTGCATGACAGACAGCAGAGTTGGTGATCCCTTGCATATCCTCAAGGTTAGCATGTTGAAAGAGGATTTTTGGTTGTGTCTTATCCTGTGACGTGTCAGTATAAGTAGTCTGTTTCCCTTCAGGAAGCTTCTTCAGTGACGTGACCATATGGGTTGTTTCTGTGTTATGTTCCTGATGGCCAAAGTCCTGGATGTGTCTTTTCATTTCAAAGTGGTTTGACCACAGAGTTGAACAAGTCTTGAAGTTCACCTAAGAGAATGGGTGAGAATAGGGGAGTCCCCATAAACCTGTAAGAAGTGTGGGTTGGGTTAGTAAGATGTCTTTCAGTGGTTGAAGGCAGGTCTTTGAAGGCCTTGCAGGATCACATTCTCTTTTGCTTCCTGGTGATGCAGTGAATGATTTTGTCTTGGTATGATGTATTGTCTTGCCATGTGCCCAATGGCATGGAACCAAATGATCATGAACTCAAAAGTTCAAAACTGTGAGCCAACACAAACCTTTTTGTTTATAAGTTGATTGTCTTGGTGATGTGTTATAGTGATAAAAAGCTGACCAGCACAGTGTTGTACCTGCATGCCTACACACCCAACGTCCATGCCTGAGACTGTAAGTCTTATGTTTAATTATAGTTCCTGGCACAGGTGGGTTCTTAGGAAAGTTGTGAAAATTCACTTTATGGTTTTTTGAATGGTCAATGAGCCTAAAGGACAGCTTTGCAAAATAGATATCTTGGCTATTAAGTTTGGAAAACACTTATTTTCTGATATAAGGTTGTGCTCAAAATGCAAATATGTATGTCAGCAAATTTCTAGAATGAGCTGATATCTTGGTTGTATGGGTTTATGTGCTGTGAGATTAGAAATGCTGGTGCGGGTTTTGCCTCCTAGACATGTGTACAGTCAAGATGGACATTCAGGACTCAGCAGAATGACTCACTGCCTATCCTGTGCAGACAAGTAACTACTTCATAAAACATTTCATGTGTGTTATAAGAAATTAAAGCAACAGAAAATCTAAATAAAGGAAAAATTCCTGAACTATCACATTCTTAGAGTGTCAGTTTTTTCAAGGTTTCTGCGCATGGACTATTTTAAGTAACTAGTTTTGTTAGAGAATATCTATTTCCTTATAAAATATTATGATTTTAAAAAAAGATGTGTGTGTGTTTGTGTGTGTGTGCTTGTGGTATCTGAGTGTATGCAGGTGTGTGGGGTGGTTCACATTCCTGTGTATGCTCACGAAGACCAGCAGAGGGCACCAGGTGTCCTCCATCACTCTGCCTCTTCCTCTGAAACAGGGCCTCTTCTTGACTTCAGGGCTCATGTCTCAGCTAAGCCGGAAGCAAGCAAACTTGAGCCTCAGCTGGGGTTGCAGGTGTTTGTGGGAAACTCCTGGCTTGTTAAACGGATGCTGCAATCAGAACTCCATTCTTCCTGATTACAGAGCAGGCTCTCTTAACCCCTGAACCACTTCTCCAACCCTAATATTCTGGTTTTGATTGGTATGCGTTTTGGTTTCTTTTCTGGTTGCTGCAATAAAATATCCTGACAAAGCCAGTTTAGCTCATATGTGGCAAGAGCTTGAGGGAATGGGTCATGGCACACCCGTAATCAGGAACAAAGAGCTCACTTTGTCCACTCTTCTGTAGTCCAGGATCCCTGCTTAGGGAATAGTGCCACCCACAGTGGGTTTGTTTTTCCACCTCAAATTAGCACAATCTAGACAATCCCCACCATCGCATGCCCACAGTCAAACCTGATGTAGACAGAGCCTCACTGAGATGCTTCCCAGGTTAACAGTTAAAACTAACCATCATAAGCTGGGCGGTGGTGGCGCACGCCTTTAATCCCAGCACTCGGGAGGCAGAGCCAAGCAGATCTCTGTGAGTTTGAGGCCAGCCTGGGCTACCAAGTGAGTTCCAGGAAAAGCGCAAAGCTACACAAGAGAAACCCTGTCTCGAAAAACCAAAAAA